GCACATTTTACACTGTAACCCAGGACATCAGTTAAGTTTATACAGAGGAAATCTGTGATAGATAAGAGTTATGGACCTATTTTAAATTTTTAATGTCATTCCACTGGAAAAAAAAAAAAAAAAAGATGCCTAGAGTTAGCATCAACTTGAGGAGTTGCTGAAGATGGATGGCTACTAGGCCAGCATGCCCAATTGCACTGTAAATCATTTTAAGGCCTTTGCTATAATCAGATGCCCCAAGTTCCACAAAAGTCCTCCTCTCTAGTATTTGCTATTACTGTTTTAGGTATTTCTAAGTTCACTTAGTCTTAGTTCACGCTCCTAAATTGTTGGTTTGAGGGAACCTTGCTAAGTAGATGCTAACTAAACCATGTTTTAGACATGTCACCTGTGCTGCCTGTGATATGTGTGATCCTGGTGGATGTGCCATGAAAGAAGCGAAAACTGGGAACTTAAATTTTAAGTCAATTAGTAGACTTTGTGCAGGAGCTACATGAGTAAGGGTCCAATCTAGGGTATTGTTACTTACTCAAGCCTTTTTATTTTTTTATTTTTAATAAAAAGAAGGCAGACCAAGAATTTACAGATTAAGCTTTGGATAATGTATAGGTTATAAAGTAAATGTTCTGTGTTTCTAGCCCTCTCCTCTTTTAAAAAAAAAAAATGTCTTGCTTAGTGCTGCAAGGCAAGTGTTATTTTTCTCTTTCCTACGATGTTCAGCCCTCTGACTACTGAATAAATTTCACAATCTCTCACAATCGCCTATCTATATAGACTGTAAGTTTTCAGCTTACAGTCAGGAAGACACACTTTTGTTTCCTGTCTCTTGAGTAGCACAGGGATGCTAATTGGGTAACATTTTCTCTGCTTCAGATTGAAATGTTGAAAGAAGTATGGAAATCCAGAGAAGCTTTCTGAGCTATCATCCTGGCCTAACATTTTATGGATGCTTCATGTGTTGCTCCTCATTCCTAGGAGATCGACCTGGAATGCTGTGCAGCTTCAAGATATCCACTGCCTGGTCCTGTGCTTGGTGCCTGAATCCCCAAGCAGACAACTGCTTCAGCACAGGTGATCTGCCAGGCTAGCAACACCTTCTGTCTCAGTGAGGAAGACTTCTTGCGTTAATCTCCCAGCTGCTACTCAAATTACAGCTAAATTAACATAATCTGCCTTCCTTAGGACTGACACGACGAGTTCTTGTGACCAATGTAGTGACAGGGCATCGACAGACATTTGGAACCAGTAGCGATGTATTGGCACAACAGTTTGCCACGCAGGTAAGAAGAACCTCCACGCCCTTCATTTTCTCAGAGTGCTGCCTCATTGGTGGGGTTTTCGTTCTGTTTGTGGTGGGACTCCCCGTGCCCTACATACAGCTGTGATTACAGTTACTGTTGGATGGCTGTTCCACAGCAGAGCTGATGTGGTCTGATGCTTGCACATGATTGAATAGCAACAAAAAAAGATTAACTGATTTCAAACTGTGTGGCAACAGGGGTATTTTTTGTTAGTTGTACAGAGGTAAAAACGAAGTGAAGGAAATACAAAGAGCACAGTAATAATGCATTGTAAAATGGTTTTGGTTTTGGCAAATGACCTCATTTTGTTAACACTTGGTGTATCGTCTCTGTCAAGAAAGAGAAAACCCCTATAAAATACTAATGGACTTGTTCACAGAGATTTAGTGAGAAGGGTGAAATCCGAGTCTGAGAATTCCAGTTCCTGTTTAGCTGTCACATCACACTGAATTCCTGCTTAGCTACCTGAACTTTACAGCTAAAGTAAATACTTGAGGTTTGAATGGAACTAATGAGTTGGCTGAAAAATGTTGTGGTGTGTATTAAAAATTCTGGTTCTTATTGCCCGTGTTAATAAAATAATTTGACAACTGCACCGGAGAGCTTAAAAGCTTGACATAAATTCTGTCTGTATAACTTGTAAGATCCTTTCAGATGTTACACAGTATGCAGCTTTCTCTTGGATTCTTCCAGACCCCAATGCTGTACAATGGCTGCCGTTCAGGTGAGATTTTTAGCATTGATGTGCGTCAGCGCAACCGAAAAGGCCAGAGCTGGAAAGCGGTTCGTCTTTTCCACGACTCAGCCGTTACATCTATTCGCCTTCTGGAGGCTGAACATTACCTTATGGCAGCAGATATGGCTGGCAAGGTAGGGTTTTGTTGTGTTCAGGATATTCTGTTCTTTTTAGTATCTGGGCATTGACAGGTGCTTATCCCAGTCCCAAGGGCAGATGCCTGTTCTTTGGGGGGTAGTATGGAACTGGGTGGTAGTTCCATATGTGCGTCCTCTTCCATGTCCACTTATTTATCAACCATCAGATGCTCTCTGCTTTAAGATCTCCTCTTTCAAATGATTACTTCAACTTGCAGATAAAACTGTGGGACCTGAGAACAGTGAAGTGTGTGAAACAGTACAAAGGTCATCACAACGAATATGCTATTCTCCCTTTGCATGTAAATGAGGAGGAAGGACTTCTTACAGCAGGTGGGTTGACTATTTTTCCCCTCTACTTGCAGAGTGCATGGCAGTGATTTTCATATGCCTGAGGAGTGTTTCTCAGCTACAGCTGTTGGAAGCTATAAAGCTGTTAACTCTTTTAAAATTCAGAAGAAATTTAGCCTTAGACATACTGTAATATACTATGAAAACTAAGAAATGTTGTTATGAATGCATGCCTACTGTAATCACTCCTGTGTAGCACTTAACAGCTCTATCTGCTGTGTCCTGCAGAAGTCCCATCATCCTTTCTGCAGTGTGTCTCAAGAGTAGAGCAGAAAACACTTGATTTTGAAATTCAGGGAAACCGCATGTAAACAGGACACTTTGGTAACTTCATATAGAGACTAAAGACCATGTATGTGCGTGTTTGGTGCTTAAAGGGGTAGTGTTGCAATGGACTGGAGCATTGGTGTGGAAGCATAACTCCTTGTAAACTGTCTATGCCACTCTGGTTCATTTTGAATATACTTGGCTACAATCTGAGATTACTTTATTTAATTTGGGATGGAGGGAAGAAAGGTAACAATAAATGAAGAAAACCCCCTGAATCCTCATAATGTAGTCAAGTTTCACAATGTCACTATAAACAGTGACCTCCTCTCCTTGGATTTGTCAATAAGCGATGGAATAATGAGAAGAATTCTTGTTAATTTGACAGTGAGTTTTTCTCCTCCTTTTTGGTTTAGGAGCTTGATGATGAGGAAAGTACTCCAAATACTGATTTATCATACCTTTTATTGCCTAAGGGGAAATGTACGTTTTTCCCACTTTTACAGTATTCAGTGTAGAATTTTTGTTTTGTAAAGCACTGATAAGCACTTTGCCTCCAGTGTGTGTAGAAATGGTCAGGGTTTTTTCCCCCTAGACCTTCTGCTTCTGTGATGATAATATTGCAGAGCCATGTAAAGTATTTTTTCTGTAATGTTGAATTCTGGTGTCCTTTCCTTTCCAGTTGGTCAGGATTGCTATACCAGAATTTGGAGTCTCCAAGATGCCCATCTGCTTAGAACCATCCCTTCTCCCCACCCATCCTCCAAAGATGCCATTCCCAGTGTGGTGTTTTCTTCCAGACTTGGGGGTAGCCGAGGAATTCCTGGCTTGCTCATGGCTGTTAAACAGGATCTCTACCACTTCTCCTATAGCTGACACAATATTCTTCTCAGACCTGGTCTACAAAGCTGCCAGCCTATACCTGACGTCAAAATTTTTGCATTGGTCTCCATGCTGTTGAGTCACTAGGTGCTGCTCTTGCATCTGCTTTACCCATGAAATTCTGAACCTCCTTCAGCAGGTTCAGCAAATCTTTCTGTATGTGATCTCAGACATCTTGTAAATAAAGCTGAATGCTGGTTATCTTCTTAGGCAATGTTGAGCCTTTTTGAAATCCAGCTATAAGCTGGTCACTTCCAGTGAGGGCCTGTCTCATCCTAGCTGAATTTGCTCTCAAAAGGCTGCTCTAACATAATCCTGGTTTGGTCATTGAACCACTTAGCTGTGGTTACATCTATGTGAGCCAGTAGGCTGGGGCAGCAGAGTGGGTTAGGAGAGTGCAGTAGCTGGTGTTGAGAAGTTGACACTACAGCTGTTCTGGGGCTTTGTTTGGAGACCTTTGGTCTGGGTCCCTACATCAACTGCCTCCATCTATGGTTGGAAGCAGGCCAAGGAATGGCTGTTTCCTCACTCACACTGTCAGTCCTTCGAGCCTAGGCCATTGCTAAACTTTGTCCTTTTCAGATGATGGTAGCGTGCCACTGCCCTGCCACTGTTCTCTTTAAAAGGCAGCATGTGTAGAGCAAAGCCCCTCTCCTGGTCCAGCAGCCAGGCTCAATGTCCCTGTTAATTTATCATAGTGTTTCCTAACCAAGTCCCCACACCCAACTTGGAATCTGGGCAGCACTCTGGAATGGCAGGCTTGCTCATGCTGCTGTAGCAGGAGGCAAGCCCAGTCTGGACATGGGATCACCTGCACAGTCAGGGCTTTATCATACAGAGGTACAAATGGGCTTTTGCTCACAGTAATCCAATGACACTGTATCCATATTTGAGAACAATTATCATCACATGGAGCCTCATTACCTCCACCTCCCTCGTGGTAACCAGTCTGGTTAATGCTGCAGCTAGTGTCGGTGTGTGTAGGAAGCACTGACAAGATCAGGAGCCTACAGGGACTAAAGGCCCTCATCAACTAGGTGGGGCTACTGGTGGGCTTCACAGGAAAGGCATGCTGCACTCAAGTTTTCTAAAATTCTTAGAAAAGGAATGTAGGGAATTCCTTTCTATCCTAGGATCCACTTACAGTGTTCAGAGATGCTACTGCCCGGTCAGCGGGTGAGAATACAAACAGGTTACAATCCCACCCTGGCTGCACAGCATGGTGGGGTGGAGGCTGCATCCAGCTGGCTCGGCAAGATGGCCGTGGCAGAGAGCTAGGCTGGGCGTATGCATTCCAAGTGCCTTCTGAAATCAGGTATAGGCCACACGTGTGCACAAAGGTAAGTTGCTGGTGACTACAGGTATGGCCTATGGTTGGGAGGACCCAGCGCAGCACCTGGGCTGCCATCCATGTCTTCGCTGCAGAGGGGACACTGCTGAGCATCCTGGGAAGGGAGGGGCCTGAAAGTCCTCATCAAAGCTTTTCTACTTCACTGAATTGCATTCCAGGAATAAAAAGAAACAGGGCTAATACCTGTCTCTTGGCTGCTTACCCCATTCACCGTATCTCTTGAGCAGGCATAATTAATTTGTTTTCCAAGGCCCTTCCTGACTTTGCTGTGTTGTCCTGTTCCTGCAGTGCTGTCTGAAACCCATTCTAGGGTTTAGGGCCACTGGGTCACTCAAAGGGGCAGGGAAGGCATCAAGCAGCAGAAACCCATGTTCCAGCAGCAGCAGTAGAGCAAAAGTCCAGCAGAGTATCTGCCCTCCGTGTATAGGCAGAGGCAGGAGATATAGGTGGGAGTAACCCTGGATAGGTTGAAGAGCTGTTGTACTGCTACAGCCCAAAGGAGGTGAGGGATGCTCTGTTGGTTAAACAGGCACAGCAGGGTACCAAGCAATCCTGTTCCTGCCCTCAGAGGAAACCTTCACCACTACCCTCCTAGGCATGGTACAAATGGTACAAAGGTGTCTAGCTTTTTTTTTGTTTCTTTGCAGATACTATTATTCTTTTGCACCTATAGCTTTTGGCCACAGCAATCTATTTACAGAGAGATTGCACCCCACCACCTTCATCATGATGGGCCTTCAGCTCCACTCCACGCTGGCACCTGTGCAGGGAAAGCTCTTAGGCTGTAACTGAGCAGGCATATTTACAGTTAAACAAGTGAGCTGGCAAAATCCTGTGACTGTTCAATCAGTCATAAAGTGTTTTTCTCAGAGGAGAGTGTGAGCTGTGGCATGAGCACAGCACTGTTAACGGGAATGACACACTCAAGGCTGTGGTGTGAGATCTTGAAGAGCTCCTTGAGACTTTGGCGTTACAGCCAATTCATTCATCCCTTTGCATCCCCACTAGTGGCCTGAGCTCATCAAGCACATGTCACGAGTGGGGTTCTGGCCTGGTTTCCTCCAAAAGGAAGCATCACAAGTGCCCTACATCGCAAGTCCAATACAGAGGGATGCCCTTCATGAGCCCAGTGCAAACCCGAGCATATCTTGTGGTTTTTTTCATCTGTTTCCAATGCGCTCCCCTTTCCTTACGTTTTTCAAGTGACTTTGGATAAAAGGGAATTATTCAGGTGCCAGGAAAGGTGGGCCCTACTAAAAATCCTCTCTGTCCTGCAGAGCTCCACCCTCATTTCTCCTGTCCTCTCACAGCCGTAGGGCCTAAGCAACAGCACGTTGTTCTAGGAAACTGTCTTATCAGCAGCTCTTACTGCTCACAAAATTAGTGTTATGTGTGGTGATCTCCTTCCCTTCCTTTGTATTTCTTTTACCCATTATCTATATAGAAGACAACAGAGCAGGAAAACTCTTCTCTTGGGAGCAGTATAGTAACTTTACAGTGTGAATGTATTCTGTATGAAATAGCTGTTGCAAGGGTAGTCAAGATGAAAGATGAATCCCAGTAAATATTCAAAACTGTTCTTCCCTGTATGAGTACACATTCAGAACCCCCAAATCTTTCTTGTGTCCTAAAACAGCCTACTCTCGTTTCCCCATAGGCACATTGAGCTGTGAATTCCTTACAACTCAGGCTCCCCCAATACATCTGGCTTTAGCGTTCCTCTGCAGAGCCTTCTGTCTCGGACAAACCGGAGTGGATGCTGCTCACAGCATGCTCTGTGCTGCCCCTTCTCTCTATAGACCTGTTCTCCTCAGAGGGTATGCAAGTCTTACGGGCTCTTCCCATTCCCTCTACTACCCTTGGATAACAAAAAGAGCCCTAATTCCTGGCTTGCTTTTCTTTTCAATCCGAGAAAATACTCTGCAATTTGTCTTGCTTAGTTATGTTAATTTGGGACAGTTTCTGTTGCATGCACAGTGATTAATGCGTGCAGTACAACTTGCAAAAGCATTTGCATTGACTTAGTTAATGCATACTGCAACTACGCATCCATTCAACAAAAACATAGCTAACCCCGTCCCACTGCAAACTCCTAACGTTACATCTGATAATCAGAATTGAATTGGAACATACTTTATATTGGTATTCTGGCTAGTAAACATGTGTGGTTCAAACACTTGCAGGTAGCGAAGCACAAGGATCATGACCTCCCTTAAATCAGAGATAATTCCAAAATTTAAATTAGCATTTAACCTCTCTTCAGTGCCCTTAACTCCAGTAATGCTTGTTCTGCATAACAAGATGTGCAACAATTGTGGCCAGTTACTGTGGGAAACACAAACTAGGAATTGTGGCAGAAAGGCATCTTACATAACTGAAGATAGTTTCATTTCTTTGTTCCCTTTTAGGCAAAACTCATAAAACAAAAGATACTCATTTGCTTTCTGTTGTTTCCAGGAGCCAAATGCACACACATGTCCCTGCAAATCCATTCACCCAACCAGTGCGCTTTTGCAGCCAACACTTCTAATTAAGCCTGCAAAAGCAGTATGAAAGGAGAGGGGAAGCAGGGCAAGAAGAGAGGCGACTTGGCTAAAGTATATTAAATCAATTATTTCATTACACAGCAATAGCTAGGACCCTAAGGCAGTATTTCTTTGCCTCAGCTTCCCAGCAAGTACTGAACCATCAGGAAACTTCAGCAAGGACAACCTTGCACTCCAAGATAGGTTGCAGCATCCCTCATCCAGCAGACACCATTTGTTTGGTCCCTTTTGCTCACTGGGGCAAGGCTCAGAGCAGACCACCAGGCTCTCCTCACTGACCAAATCACCAGTCCCTCCCACCAACACAATTGTTTCAGAAGCCACAGAGTCTCACCCTTGTTCTGTTCCATATACCCTGCTCCTATCAGCCATCTCTCTACCCTGATTAAAAAGGCTCTTTCCACATAACACCCTTTAAGTCACATAAGGTTCTTAGACATAACAGGGAGAAACTTCAACTTTACAGTTTTAACTTGAAGTGTCTAAAGCAGGGAAGGGATTTGCCTTTGGGTCTTCTGTGGTGGTGGGGGGGGTTATATCTTTCTGTTGGCCCTAACTTATTGCAGTACATTGCTTCATGGTCATTCCTCCTCTATTATCCCAACAAATACTGAAACTAAGAGCTTAAAAAAACCCCAAACCAAACAATTTACTAGTCACAATTTCACTCTGGCATTTCTACATTTTTGATCTTAACAGGGCCCCATTCTAACAGTACTAGAAAATTAAGCATTTGTTGTGAAGAAGTAAGAATTCAAACCGATTGCGTACATAGCCTCGAGATGTCCCCTTACAGTACCTGCTTTCAGAAAAGTTATAATCTGGCAGCAGACAATTCAGCTTCCGTCCCCAAACCTTCAGTTGCTGGTGGCTGCTGGCATATACTACATAAACTGTCAGCTGAATCAAGCAGTCAATACCAACCCAAAGTACTTTCTAGACAGGGGTTCTGGGGAGAGGGGCCGGGGGTTGAAAGTGCTTGACTCGAGTGTTTAAAACACTTTACGAACTAGTTTCATGTTTCAAAAATGGAAGCCAAGGCACAAAGTTGATAAACCTTTTTAGGTAATGTCCAAAAATATAATAAGATCACCTGCCCTTTCTTCTTCATCCTATCTGCAGTTCTGCTAATATCACAGTAGCTGCAACACACACTGTTGTCTTCCTGGCATGGCATCATCTGTACATTGTCATACGTACACTACTGCTTCTCTCCAGTGCTGCTGTAAAACTGCCTTTCAAGCAGAACCTGTAAGATTTAGCTAGCTTTTCAAAATGTCCGAAATCAGTGTTTCAAAATCTCC